CAACCAACTGGGCCACACTGGACAGGGCTGTTTAAGCCATTTTTGTCTTGGCAAGGAGAAAACTATTTTTCCAACTGTATGTTGCTTTTAGACTTTCCTCTTTTAAAGAAAGTTCAGAAGAGGCATTTTAGCATTTATAATTGGTGAGTTTTCATTCAAGTATCAGCTTGAATAGTACTTTAATATCCAGTAAAGTCTGCTGAGTTTTATCTTCATGTTTGGATGCCTAGTTTTTAAATTTCTAGCTAATTGTGATCGGTTCAGAATATTATTATCTATCCACTATAATACACACTTAGAGTGAAGTTGATGTCAGCAAAAGTAGATGCAAATTCATACTTAAACAATGGTTCTTTATAATTTCAGTTATTGTCAGATCTGGTTAGTCATTAGTTTTTCACCTTCCAATGTGATTTCCAAAGGGTATCAGAAATGTCAACTTAGCCAATTGCGCTGGCTTATTATTGCATTATTAAAACTATCTCCATTGGTCGGTGCTGTAACAGTTTACTTAAATATCATCCGTAAATCCACTTAGATACAAAAACTGCAACATGTGGCAATGTGCTGAAAGTGAACAAAGGAAAGAGCTCTCTCCTCCCCACACCCTGCTGTCCTGGAGCTGTGCTCCCACCCACTCCAAGGACACAAGTGCTTGCCTACTACAGAGCAAGTGGGGGTGCCAGTGCCAATCCTCACATTAAACATTAGTAAAGCTTAACTTCTTTCTCTCTTTTTGGTAAAAATAATAATAATAATAATAATACATATGCTTGTACACAGAAGTTCAAATACCTAATTCTAGAATTTCAGGGGTCATCTTCTGTACCCCATTTTGGAGACCTTGTTGTAGATAAGTGCTCTTACATTTTTGTTTATAATATTAGAAAGCCCTCTTTTTAATGAAAATGAACACAAAACTCTAATATTAGAAACAACAGATGAAAATAAGACCACTCTGATTGACTTTGAGATGGGAGGAGTAGGGCTCAGACCTCTCTAGGCATTTTCTCCCTGTCCTCTTCAGGTGGACTTTAAGTTTCCTCTGTGGAAACCTACTTTCCTTGAAATACAGTAGGAAAAATTTTAGGCCAGGCCTAGGTCCTCAGACCTGCTCTTTCTAGCACTTACTTCCTCTCTAGGCACAAAGCAACTGGCATGTTTTTTAAAGGCTAGCATGTTAATATTCATGATTTGGGGACCAATAATAGCTCACTGAGTTACCTCCCCTGTACTTTACAGTCCTATGTAACTATATTTAATTTGAGGATAAGAACATCTATCAAAATGAATATAAAATGGTGGCATTTCAGCCAATAAAATAGAAAAACACGTTGTTTGGGCTGGAGGCCCTTCCTCTTGTGTTCTCCAATGACCTTGAATTTGGAGAACACATTATAATCCAATTTGTTACACCCTGGTTAAAAAAAATTTAATGCTACTAATGAGGGAAACCACAAATATATAAAGCCAATAAAAATTGTAAATAAAAGAAAAATAATTATAAAAATGTCTTAAGATAATTATGAAAAAAAAATCATTAAGATATCAGGAAATGGACCATCTGTGATATTGTATTAACCAAGATAAGTAACACTAACTGCTGTAATAATTGACCCCAACATGTCTGGCTTAAACTCAATAAAGATCTGTTTTCTTATTCATATCACAGTACAGTACATGCTGTGAGGAGGCTTTGCTGTAACCAGTCACTTAGGGACCCAAGCTTCTTGTCAAGGTTGACCTGGTTTCATCTAGTTGGTAGATGGAAAGATAAAAGAGAGTGGAGAAGGACTACCTTCTCTTAACTGCTCAGCAAGGATGATGTTCCACTGATGAGAACTAATCATGTAACCCTACCTACATGCAAAAACTTTGGTAAATATGGTTTCTCCTGGAAGAGAAAATGGGTTTTTGGTCAGCATCTAACCAGACTTTATCATATAACAGAGGTTGGTCTGGGGATTCCCAATCTGTAACCTGAATATCATCAGGCCTTTGGAAATCTCTTGGGAAGTCTTTTTTTTTTAATCCTCATCCGAGGACATTTTTCCATTTTTTGCACAGACAGAGTGGGAGGGAGAGAGAGGAAGAGAGAAAGAGGGAAACATCGATGTGAAAGGGACACATTGAGTGGCTGCCACCCGCACAGGGCCAGGGACAAACCGCAACCGAGGCACATGCCCTTAGCGGGAACCGAACCCGGGTCTCTCCGGACCGCAGGTGGATGCTCTAACCGCTGAGCCAAACTGGCCAGGGCTCTTGGGAAGTCTTTACAACTCTTTTCAACCTGCTGTGATAAAGAAAGCTGCTTGCCAGCACTAATTTCATCTCTTGTTCCCAGAACAAGCCATGATTGTCCATGTCTTTACATCTTTGCATGTGTTTGGATATGATGTCAGTTTATTCTTTCCAGTGCTCCTTCCCTTCCAGCCTCCTCTTCCTCCAAATCTAGCAAGCTCCTATTCACCTTTTAAGACCTAGGACAATGTTTACTTTTCCTAGGAACTGGCTCTAATGACACAGAAGGAACAGATCTCTACTTGACTCTTGTACTTTTTATCTACCTCTGTTACTAGATTCATTAGCCTGTATTATAATTATTTAACGACCAGTGTTTTCAAAAGGATTAAGTGCATTAATATTCACAATATAGTGACCATTATAGCAGACAGCTTCTGGAGGATAAAGACTGAGTCATATATATCTTAGTGTCTCCCACGCCTACTCAGCACAGGTCTGGCTCACATAATAACTGAGGGGAAGATGCATCCTGTCTCCCTTCCTGCCACTTCTGTGTCTCTCCCTTTTGGGTATTGTTGTAAAAATTTACCACCTTCACCATTTTTAACTGTACATTACAGTAGTGTTAACTATATGTCCCTTGTTTGTGACAGATTTCTAGAACTTTTTCATCTTGCAAAACTGAAACTATACTCATTGAACAACTCCCCATTTCAGCCCTTAATGACCATCATTCCATTTTCTGTTTCTAAGAGTTTGACAACTTTAGCTACCTCATATAAATAGGAAAATGCAGTACTTGGTTTCTTTTTTTTTTTTTTATTTTTATTTATTTTTTAATCCTCATCCGAGGACATTTCTCCATTTTTTGTACAAACAGAGTGGGAGGGAGAGAGAGGAAGAGAGAGAGAGGGAAACATCGATGTGAAAGGGACACATCGAGTGGCTGCCACCCGCACGACCAACCAGGGCCGGGGACAAACTGCAACCGAAGTACATGCCCTTAGCGGGAACCGAACCCGGGTGTCTCCGGACCGCAGGCGGACGCTCTAACCGCTGAGCCAAACCGGCCAGGGCAGTACTTGGTTTCTTTGTGACTGGCTAATTTCACTCAGTAAAATGCCCTAAAGATTCATTCATATGACAGAATTTCCCCCTCCTCCTTTTTTTTTTTTTTTTTTGAGGCTGAATAATATTTCAGTGAATATATACCACATTTTATTTTATTTATCCATTCATCCATTATGTGTCTTTGATTTTGGCCTGTGGTCACTAGAGAGGACTATGAGAAAATATATTTTCTATTGACCCAAGAGAAAAGATGTTCTCGTACTCAAATATTTCAGGATGGCTTAGGTTCTGGAGACTAAAAGAGAAATTATACTGAGTGCCAAGGGAAATGAGATTAAAAAAAAAATCAGTGACTACAGAAAGAATGCCTACTATCATACCCTATCTGAGCACAAGAAACTATTACACTATTTTCATCTGAGAAACATAGGCCCATAATAAAAAGCTGTTTGCATTCAAAAGCCTCTTACCCTAGTCTTTTTGCTGCCCTACTCAGTACCTCCTGTTTCACACCCTCAAAATAGCTCTGTTGAGAAAAGCAGCAGCAAAATTTTAAAGTAGGGTAAAATAAATGAATAAAGGGATAAACAAGAACTCTTTCAACACAGAGCACTTGTAAGAATTTTCATGTGTATGGAGAAGTTGAGCCCAGAGTAACCTCTGGCCCTTCTTGGTATTAGTGGATTCCAGTGTTCATTTGCACTGAGCTAGTTTGAGGCCCTTTAAAGACATTCATAACCTTTACTTCAGTGCCTTATAATGAAGGAATCTGAAGTATCCTTGCATCAGCATGAACATTATTTTTGCAGTTGGTCCAAAGGTCTACTATGAAATACATAACCATAATGTGTACTGAAAAAAAAGCTCAAAGTAAACTAGCATTTAGCTTGTAAACGCATTAAACACCTCATGTATAACTTGTTTAAAATCATCGCAGTCAGAATTCCAGCACTTAAAATCCTGCAGTTTTTGGTAAAATATGCCAAACATAGCTTGAAATTGTAAATAATCCCCCCGTCAAAGCGATATTAGCAAATTGGTGTGTGAACAAAGAGCCCTTTCTGCACCAGCGTGAATGTTGCCTTTTTCTCCCCCCACAAGCGTGATTTTAGAAAACAGCTGTGGTACATGTTGACAAACGACAAAGCGGCAGACATGGTAAAACACTTTCGGTCAGGGCCAAGAAGGGGGGAAACCCGGGCTGTTGGAGAGACCAATGGGCTTGAATCCCTAGCTTCACTAACCTCTTTCTTCCAGTCTTTAGGGACCGGGGCCTCACCGCCCCACCCCCTTTCCCTGGCTCTGGTTACAGCCTTTCGAGTTGAACAAACTTGCTGCAGCTCTCCGGCCTGGGCTTTGCATTTATTCATTTATATTCCGCGGCGCCCCACGCTCCAGCGGGCGGCTCCTTTGTATCCGCCGCGTCCCCCGCTCCGGGCCTCCACCGGGAGCCAGTCCCCCGCATCCGCCCGACCCCCGAGGCCGGCACGTGCTGCGCCCGCCCGCCCTGCCGAGGGGGCGGAGGCCCAGCTTTTCTCCTAACCCCCCTCGGCCAGGAGGAGGAGCAGCTGCAGCAGAAGCAGAAGGCGACAGCTGTCCGGCCGAGGGCGCGCGGCGGAAAGGGGCTGCAGCGCTTGGCGCCCAGCGACTCCCGGAGGCAGCGGCAGAGGCGGTGGCCGGGTGGCGGGCAGCCGTGCGGCCGCCCAGGATGTTCCTGGGCACTTCCTGACTGGCTGGCCCCGGCACTAGGAGGACCCGCTCGCCCCCCGCCCCCTTGCTCGCTGCCTGGCTGGGGCCCGCTCAGAGTCGGCCGTGCCGCCGCGGTGGAGGCACGAGAGGTGGTCGTGGCCTCGAATGAGCTGATTGCTGTTAAATACGCCGCGGACACGCCAGGGACCGGCCCGAGAGGCCGCAGGGAGCCGCAGCATTTCTTCGAGTCACAGCCCTGCCCTTGGATTTGAGATCATGTACGTACGCGTCGGTCCTGCTATTGTCTGTATCCCACGCGTGTGGTGCGCCCCAGGGCGAGGGGCGCGTGCCCATCCTCTGCGCGAGGTCCCCCGCACTTCCTGTTTGCCCTGAAGTTCTCCCCGCGCTGACCACGCGCCTCTCTCCCCTCGCCCCCTCCCTGTCTTGCAGGTCCATTCACATCGTGGCGCTGGGGAACGAGGGGGACTCCTTTCATCAGGACAGTCGGCCTTCAGGGCTCATCCGCACTTACCTGGGGAGAAGCCCGCTGGTCTCTGGGGACGAAAGCAGCTTGTTGCTGAACGCCACCAGCACTGTCGCGCGCCCCGTGTTCACGGAGTATCAAGCTAGCGCATTCGGAAATGTCAAGCTGGTGGTCCACGACTGTCCCGTCTGGGTAAGACGCGGCAGCCGCTCTGATAAGGCTGATGCAGCTTTTCTCTCATTTTTTTCCTCCTCCCTCCCTTGTATGAATGTGAAGTGCCCAGGTCACCCTGGTAGAACTTTCGAACAATTTGGGGAAAATCTTTGTTTCTTTGTCTCATCAGGCAAGGAGCACTCTTAGAAGGCAAGACGCCCCAGCGGGAAAGTGGAGCGCTTACACTTCACGACTGTGGCTTGGCCCTTGGTAGACGCTGACAGTAGAATGTGCCAACCACAAGGGACTGGGTCACTAAGTTTCACCAGCAGAGAGCAATGTTTTTTATGCCTACCCTGTGAGTGATAGTGTAATATTAGTGTTCTAAAAATAAAGCCCTCTGAAACCTCGACACAGGCAAAAATACATTTCACTGGGGCAGTTTAGAAATAGAACCCTGGAAAGGAGAGACAAAGACAGGGACTGAGAATTTTTAAAAACTCACATTATCTACCTTTGAAAATTTTAATTAGTGTTTTTTATTTTAGTAATGCAGATACTTTTGATATATTAGGCGTTTGTTTTTAGTGATTCACAAATCAAATTATATTACTAGCACTTCTTGGAATTTTTTAAAAGCTTTAAATTTTGCAATAATTGACAAATTGTAATGAAGTTGGTAAATTCTAATCTGATTTTTGACTGTTTGATAACAGGAGAAAGGAATCTACTCCCTGACGCATATAAATGTTTTCAGTACACACTAACATCATATTTTAAATGCTTTTGTTTAATCTTACTTGAAAATGTCTGATTCTTTACTGGTTGGAGTTACATTGGTACCAAAGATTACATTTTGTTTTTGTTTTTTTTAAATCCTCACCTGAGGATATTTTTCCATCTATCCTCAAACAGAGTTGGAGAGAGAGAGAGAGAGAGAGAGAGAGAGAGAGAGAGAAAGCGAGAAACATTGATGTGAGAAAGACACGTAGACTGGCTGCCTCCCTGACCCGGACCAGGGACTGCTTGAACTGCAACAGAGGTAAGTACCCTTGACCGGAATAGAACCCGTGACCCATTGTTCCCCCGGCTGTGTCTTTAACCACTAAGCCAAACTGGCCAGAACAAAGATTATACTTTGTAACAGAAGAAAGTTTAGTGTCTGAAAAAGAAAATACAAATTATCATTATGTGAGATTTTTACATTTAAACAGCACTTTCTAAAAACTGAATTAGGGGTTATAGGGAACTAATAACTTTCTAAGGAAATGTATAGAATGTACATAGAAAAACTTCATATGCAAATTTCTATATTATGGAAAGAAAAGATCACTTGTCCAAATAAATTTGTGATTATAATAGGTTAAAATAAATGAAAAACTGGCTTTTCCAATAATAGAAATGCGATTAAACTAGTTATGACAGTGATGATGCTGGTCAGAAGTATTGATAGAGAATTTATTGTCTGGAGTTCATGCAAGCAAATGAAATGCTTCTTTTAACTTTGGTCATTTCATTGTGAAAGACCTTACAGTCTAAAAACTTGTTGGTTCTTCACGAACTTGATCTATCATTGAGTGAATAGAAGAAATAAATGTCAGGAATATAAAATAAGCTGAATTAGAACGTTAGGATTGCCTTTTACATTTTTTTCTTTGAGCTATTAGCTCTTTCCTGTTTATGTTTTTAATTTAGCAAACAGCAATACTTGTGATCCCATGAACTGTAGTAAATGAAATCGTTCAAATGGATTAAAATAAGCCCCAGTAGTCTGGATTTTTGCCATTTACTGATTGTTGTGGTTTATCATAAAATCCCCCTTGTTTGGTTAGACTTTGGCCTTATTTAAGGCATTGAGTTAGTAACCAGGTGTAATTTTCTAGGTTATAATGGTTTGCAGACATAGTAGAATACATTCGCAGAGTTATTCTTCATAAGGTGCTTTTCTTCTCTTGGTGTTAAATAAAAGCACTTCAGAGATATTAAAGTTGATTGTATTCATCAGCTGATATTTGATATTTACTGAATCAGAATATTAAATATAGTAGAGCAGATAGAGCACAGGTTTTGATATCAAAAGGACCTGATTTCAGATCCTCACATTGCTACTTAGTGGCTGCGTTCTTGGTAAGTCACTTGTCCTCTCTCCACCTTACTTTCTCCATGTATAAAGTAAATATAATAATCCCAGGCCCCTAGAGCTGTACTAAAGAGTAAATGAGGTAGTACAGGTAAAAATCTTAGTAGAGAAGCTGGCATGTAGTAGGTACTCAATAAACGGTAACTACTATAATAATATTTATTGTAATGTTAGTGCAGCCATATATCACTCATGCTAAGCCAAAGTAGTTTTCCTACACAGAATTCAAGATTTAAACAATTACAGTACATCAATGCAGAAATGTTAGTAAGTATTGTATGTGCAGCCCCACAATCAAGTAGAATAAAATTGTTGTTTTGTAAAAATTCAGATTAGTTTTAAAAAGATGAATTTCTTCTCCAATTGTGGCTCCAAACCTTGTGTTACATAACCTCCCAGAGGAAATCCTGGAACTGATTTACAAGGGGTGGGAAAATTTTATTTTCTTCATATTTCTAGAAACCAGTGGAGCATTTTCTCTTTGACATAGTTTGAGGAGAGCTGTGTTGTTTCCTTGGAGCTGGAATGAGGTAGCTGTGCTTTACTTTTCTAGTTTTCTTCTCTATATCTCTAACCTTACTCTGGATCCCTGCCATATAAACTTGGCAATTTAAAAATAAATGTGCTTCAGATTCATTTTATGTAGCTCATTATTTAGTATGCCTTTCTCAAACCCACCCCTTATTTTTGTTGCAGTTATGTTATTTTATATTTCTAGATACTTTACTGTTTACCAAAAATAATTCCACAAGAAGCAGTGAAGTAATGCATGCAGTTTTCTTGAGCAAGGTTTGAAACTCTGATTTGTATTAAGAATAAAATTATTTATGCCCTGGTTGGTTTGGCTCAATGGTTAGAGCATCGACCCACAAACCAAAGGGTCTCAGGTTCAATTCCCAGTCAAGTACCTGGGTTGCAGGTTCCATTCCCCACCCTGCAACCAACTGATGTGCCTCTCTTACATTGATGTTTCCCTCTCTCTCTCCACCTCCCTCCCTTCCACTCTATCTAAAAATCAATGGGAAAATATCCTGAGGTAAGGATTAACAATCAATCAGTCAATAAATAAAATTATATATATCTTTACATTCCCAGCCCCATAGTGTTAATGACATCAAAACCCATTTTTTCATGACAATTTCCCTTAAATGTCGCCCCCACATACACACCATCCCCTCTTACAACTGTCTATCTAGTAACTCAGGAATTTTGAACTATTTGGAATGCAAAGAGCAAGTTACTTGTGATTTGTTCTCCCAGAGTGAAATGGCTGCTTAACGTTAGTTCCACTTAGGTTTAGTTTTTGTATACCGTTCTTCTGAAGTCCTTTCTCATTGTTATACTTCTATATCCTCTTATACTTGTATGCTTTGAGCTTGAACACTGTAATAGATGCAATGGGAACTGAATGGGTTCTGTGGTTTGGGGTTTGGAAATTAGCACAGAGTTCTGCTGGGAAGCTTTCACATGTTCTTGATCTGTGTCCCACTTCACTTCTCGCCCTCTTACACCCTCTACTAAGTGCGGGACTTTGCACTTTATATTCCTGTAGTTTGCCATTGGGGTTTTTTGGTTTGTTTGTTTGTTTGTGTGTTTGAATTTTCCTTTGAAAATGCTGTATTCATCCTACTTTCAGTAGGGTATGCATATCTAAAAATTCTGTAATTCTTGTTATTCTGAGTGCTTGCAGGAAATGGGTGGGTTGGGAAGGTATAGGGAACTGACACAGGCTTTGCTGGGGCTGGGGAGGTACTGGCGAGAAGAAACTCTGCTAGAGAGCATTGCTGGGTAACATTTCTCCAGCGTTTTCCATCATAGGATAAAAGCTCTGACACATGGACACAAATCTTGATTGGTTGATTCACACACTATTAATCTTGTAGACTCCTAGTAAAAACTATCATAGTCCAACAGGTTTGGACAGGTTCTCCACATCTTTCTGTTGTCTCTCTCTCTCTCTCTCTCTCTCTCTCTCTCTCTCTCTCTCTCTAGTGTGTACGTGCGATCCAATAAGTCTTTATTCACACACACACACACACACACACACAAAACCAGGCACTGGGCCAGATTTGGCTGCATAACTATCTATTTTATTAATCCAGGTTTATTACCTCCTAGAAATACATGCAAAAAGCCACATGAAAGAACAAATAATGATTAATAGTTAACTAGAATATGAGAAGAAAGCTGCTTATGCATATTTAGCAGTGGTATTAAGACACATAAAGATATTTTCTTTATACTACTATTCACACAAAAACTTTGAAAAATTGTTTTTAAAATGTTAAAGCACTAGCCTGGCCAGTGTGGCTCACTTGGTTGGGTGTTGTTCTGTGCACTAAGGGGTCATTGGTTGCATCCTGGTCAGGGCATATGCCAGGGTTGTGGGATCCCCAGTAGGGGGCATGCAGGAAGCAAACAGTGGATGTTCCTCTCTCATCCATGTTTCTGTCTCCCTTCCTTTTTCCAAAATCAATAAAAGCATATTTAAAAATATAAATTAAAGCACTAAATTTGAAGGACTGGGGTCCATAATGAATTACTTTTGGCCTCAGTTCTAAATATGATATTAACTATAGTCCAAAAGTAAAAATTTCAAAACTAGAAAGATTTATTATAATTTTTCTAATCACTCGAGGATATGTTTTCATTTGATTTTTAGAGAGAGAAGAAGAAAAAGAAGAAGAGAGACAGAAACAAAAACATCAGTTGGTTGCTTCCCATACAAGCCCCAACAGGGGATCAAACTGCAAATCGCAACCTAGATATGTACCCTGACCAGGAGTGGAACCTGCAACCTTTTGGTACACAGGACGATGCTCCAATCAACCAGGCTACCCTGCCAGGGTGTAAATTTTTTTTAAAATATGTTTTTATTGACTTTAGAGAGAGAGGAAGGGAAAGGGAGGAAGAAGAGAGAGAAACATCAGTCAGCTGCCTCCTGCACGCCCCCTACTGGGGATCGAGCCAGTGACCTCTATGTGCATGGGATGACACTCAACCAATTGAGCCACACCAGCGGTGTTAACACCTTATAATACATAGGATCTTTTTATGGAGGCCTCCATTTACATGTATGTACACACTATATGTATGCTGTACTGTTGAAAGGATACACGAAGTTGAAAAGTATATATGAAAGTATATATTGAAAATATGTATAAAATATATGGAACTCCACAGAATTTACAGTGCATTACAATTCAAAACACTGAACAATTCTGCAGTGTCTAACTGGGTCATGGAAAATCCTTTGACGCTTCCTTACTCATACTGATGCTTTTGCATCTAATGTATAATGTTATGTTTTTTAAATTATTAGGTGATAATATTAAGGCATAATTTTAAAACAAAGTGCTTAATTTTAACTACAAATATTGAAAAAGTTTGCTTATTTCATTAGACTCTATTCTCTGTATCATCTACCACTACTTAGTTGTCTAGGCTAAATGAATAAATAAAAAGTTGATGGACTTAGCCCTGGCCAGTTTGGCTCAGCGATTGGAGCATTTGCCTGTGGACCAGAGAGACCCAGGTTCATTTCCTGCTAAGGGCACGTACTTCAGTTGCGGTTTGTTCCCAGCCCCGTGTGGGTGGCAACCACTCAATGTGTCTATCTCAGGTTGATGTTTCTCTCTCTCCCTCCCCCTCTCCCTCCTGCTCTATCTGAAGATAAATGCAAAAATGTCCTTGGATGAAGATTAAAAAAAAGTTGGTAGATTTAAAGCATTTTAAACATTATGGAGTTAATTTTGTAAAATAAAAATTTTAATGAATTTCAAAGGATAAAATATAGCAAATAGATTAAGCTACTGTGTTATAGTTTATTTCATGATTGATTTGAAGACAGACTAATAATTACTGTTTGCATTTTGGTTTAGGACATTTTTGACAGTGATTGGTACACTTCTCGAAATCTCATCGGGGGTGCCGACATCATTGTGATCAAATACAACGTAAATGACAAGTTTTCATTCCATGAAGTGAAGGATAATTATATTCCGGTGATAAAAAGAGCATTAAATTCAGTTCCAGTAATCATTGCTGCTGTTGGTACTAGACAAAATGGTAAGTATATAATTTTCTCTTTTACAATGGGAGTGCAGGTACCATATTAATTTTAAATAGAGCTAAGTTTACTAATAATACCGTTTTTATAAAAAACCCTAAATGACTGTGGGTTCAATACCAGCTGTTATTTCTTTATCTTTGAATATGATAAGAAGATAACAAATGAAAGTATTGAAAACTTCTGCTGTGATTGTGATGGGTCAAATATCTCAGGGCCAAATCAGAATTCACTTGGATATCGTGATATTTTATATTTCTTAGTAGTATTTTCTTAGTAAATCTGTGTTGACATTTTAGTTTTATTCATTTATTTATTTTTATTGAGGTATAACAAAGTAAAGGATATAAAGTTCACTAATCTTTGAAAACAGTTTAATGTGTTTTTACATATGTAAACATCACACTGATTGAGACATAGAACATTTGCAGCACTTAGGAAGGCTGTCTCTCATGCCTCCCAGTTAATAACATCCCTCCCCAGAGGTAACTGCTATTCTGTCTTCTAAAAACATAGATTCAGCCCTGGCCAGTTTGGCTCAGCGATTAGAGCGTCGACCTGTGGTCCAGAGAGACCCGGGTTTGGTTCCCGCTAAGGGCATGTACCTCGGTTGCAGTTTGTCCCCAGGTCTGGTTGGTTGTGCGGGTGGCAGCCACTCGATGTGTCTCTCTCACGTCGATGTTTCTCTCTCTCTCTCTCCCTCCCACTCTATCTGAACAAAAAATAGAAAAATGTCCTCGGGTGAGGATAAAAAATAAAATAAAAACAGAGATTTGTTTCACCTATTCTTGAACTTCATACAAATGGAATTATACAGTATGTAATGTCTGATGTCTGATTAATTTCAGTTAGCATATGTTTGAGATTCATCTATGTTGTGCTTATCTGTAATTTGTTATTTTTATTGCTGTATATTATTTCATTGTATGAATATGCTGTAATTTATGTATCCATGCTGTTTTTGAAGATGCTTAGGTTTTTACCTAGAGGTAGGATTGTTGAGTCATAAGGTAGGTACATGTTTAACATTAGTTGATACAAATAAAGTAGGTTTGACCGGTCCTTGACCCCACATCCCCTCTGTTTTCCTATCTTTTTTTTTTTTTTATTGCTGGCCATGATTCTTGAAAGTGTCGTCCATACTTCCTGAGTTCATGTCCTGACTTCCCATTCATTGTTCAGTTCACTACAGTCCGATGTAGTACACTGAGTTTGTTTTCACGCAGGGTTGCCAGTTTATATGCTTATTGCCAAATTTAATACATTTCAATAATAATTCGCTCTTTTAAATTATTCGAAACACCTCATCCTTCTGCTAAAGTCATGTGTACTTGTTCTAATTCAGTTTTTTTTTTTTTTACTGGTCCCCCCAAGCTGCCCCCTTACACACATACACCAATACATCCTGGTTCCATTCTTTGACTTCAGCTCTTCTTGCTCTTTACTCTGACTGTGAACCTGCTCATCTCTTGCCCTAGCTTGCCCTTATAGACACTGATGATTACCCAGTCTGTTTCTCTGGCTTTAGTCTTCTTTATCCCCATAGCTCCACAGCCATCTTCTCTCTACTGACTTCCCTGTCTTGGTGAATAATACCAAACCTGTGCATTCACCCAAACTAGAATAATCTATTCCAGCTTTCTCTCCCATTCCCTATGTCCAGTTGACTAAGAAGCGCTATAGATTTTACATTTAAAATAAATCTCAGACTCATTGTTTCCTCTTCATCTTCAGTGGATTTCAGATCCTAGTCATTTAATTATGTCATAATGGCCTTCTTTTTGATCCCAGATTTCGTAGGACCTGAAACTTACACAATTTTAGAGGTTCTTTGTAAGGAAACAAAACAAAAAACACTACAAAATCACAGATTATATAGATAGATAAGTAGATAAATAGATAGATGATAGATAGATAGATATGTATAAAAGTGAATATTTATAATGAAAGAAAAAAGAAACCACAACAAATTAAAAATCAAAAAAAGTTGTCAAATACCACAAAATATTTTTTAAATGTTTCTTATTTCACAGCTTGACACTTCTTTAAACTTTTTTGTATATGGAGGCTGCATAGTCTTTGGTCACCTCTTCATATGATAACCACTTTTTAATATTTTCTGTAGAGAGAAGAAAATGATGATCAGTTTTTCTTCCAGCATATTTCTTCACTGTCCACACTGGTTCTGGGCACTGTAGTGTGTGTTGTGTTTCTCTTTCTGTTTGGCATCTTTGTGTCATGACACCAAATAAATCGGCACAGTGGGTAGCAGAAACATTCCCCATGGCCGCTCATGTACCAGGACACTTAACTGTGCAAGAAAGTGACTACAAACTACAAAGTAATGTATCACTAAATCTAAATTTAAATTCCTCTTAGCATGATCCTTGAAATGCCCCTGGGTACTCTAGAGCTGCCTGATACAAGATGAAGTGGGTGGGAGTGGAAAGAGACAGTGGTCTTAAACAAATGTAGTTAAAATGTCTTATTTTGAAAACTTTACAAAAGCACATGACAATGTGAAAGAATCTGTCGCTCAGGTCCCTCCCAGGGCTTTGGGAAGGACCCACAAGAACATGGCCTGAGGCTTACACTTTTTAAGCTTCATGGTAAATTGACCTCTAGTCTCCAATTCCTGCTTTGCTTCTTTCAGAATGATCATCCTAGAATACAAGTCAGATCATGGCATGCAATGCTTTAAATTATTTAGACACTGTTTTATTTTCCCCTAATTTTTATTTACAAAATTTAAAACCTTAGAAAAATGAACTTCAGAAATTACACACACACACGCATGCACGCTCTTCTCAGCTGAACCATTTGAGAGTAAATCGTAAACATTATGAGATTTCTTCAGTCCTGATTATTTAAGTCTGTATCATCTAAGAACAAAGCCATCCTCCTACTAATTGTAGGTAATCATCACTCAAAAAATGTAAATATTATCTATTATATTATTATTTAACATCTAATTCATATTCACATTTTCCCAATTGTTTCAAAGATGCCTTTTAAAAAACATCCAGTATTACACATTACATTTAGTTGTCCTGTCTCTGTAGTCTCTTTAAATACAGAATAGTTCCCCAACTTTTTTGGGGGTGGGGGGATGGAAGATGGTGTCTTTCATGACGTTGACATTTTTATAGAATCCAAGCCCATTATTTTTCACAATTCCTTCAGGTCTGATAACTGTGGTTGCAAAATAGCGATTTATTTATTTAATTTAATTAATTTATTTTTGTTACAGTTGTTTCTGTTTTTCCCCCATTGACACCCTTCTCCCATTTCTGCCCCTGACCCAGCATTGTTGTCTATGTCCATTGGTTATGCTTATATGCATAAGTTCTTTGGTTTATCTCTTCTCTCCCCTTCACTCCCCTTCTCTGAAGTTTGTTAGTCTGTACCCTACTTCTGTGTCTCTGGGTCTATTTTGTTCATCACCTTATGTTGTTCATTATATTCCACAAATAAGTGAGATCATGTGATACTTGTCTTTCTCTGACTGGCTTATTTCCCTTAGCATAATATTCTCCAGGCCCCTCCATGTCATCTCAAAGGATAAGAGATCTGTCTTTCTTACAGCTGCATAGTATTCCATTGTGTATATGTATCACAGCTTTTTTATCCACTTATCTACTGATGGACACTTGGGCTGTTTCCAGATCTTAGCAATTGTAAATAGTGACACTACGAACATAGGGTACATATATTTTTTCTGATTGGTGTTTCAGGCTTCTTAGGATATATTCCTAGAAGTGGGATCACTGGGTCAAATGGCAGTTCAATTTTTAATTTTTTGAGGAAACACCATATTGATTTCCATAGTGGCTGCACCAGTCTGCATTCCCACCAGCAGTGTACTAAAGTCTCCTTTTCTCCACACCCTCGCCAACACTTGTTGTTTGATGATTTGTTGATGGCAGCCATTCTGGCAGGTGTGAGGTGATACCTCATAGTCATTTTAATTTGCATCTCTTTGATGATTAGTGACAATGAGCACTTTTTATGTCTCTTGGCCATTTGTATGTCCTGTTAGAAGAGGTCTAGTTAGGTCCTCTGTCCATTTTTAATTGGATTGTTTGTCTTCCTTTTGTTGAGTTTTATGAGTACTCTATATATTTTTAAATTAACCCCTTATCTGATGTATCATTGGCAATTATGCTCTCCCATACAGTGGGTTCCCTTTTGATTTTGATGGTTGTTTCTTTTGCTGTGCACAAGCTTTTTAGTTTGGTGTAGTTCCATGTATTAATTTTTGTGTTTGTTTCTCTTGCCTTAGGTGTTGTATCAGTGTAAATTCTGCTGCATGTGATGTCTGAAATTTTGTTGCCTACATTTTCTTCTAGGATTTTTAAGAATTCATGAGTCACTTTAAGTCTTTTATCCATTTTGAGTTTATTTTTGTGTATGGTATAAGTTGGTGATCGAGTGTCATCTTTTTGCATGTAGCTATCCAATTTTCCCATCACCGTTTATTAAAAAGGTTGTCTTTGCTCCATTGTATGCTCTTGCCACCTTTGTCAAATATTAATTAAGCATACCGTCGTGGTCAATTTCTGGATTCTCTGTTCTGTTCCATTGATCTATATGCCTGTTCTTGTGCCAGTACCAGACTGTTTTGATTACAGTCACTTTGTAGGATAACCTGATATCTGGTATTGTGATCCTTCCTACTTTGTTCTTCTTTTTCAAGATTGCCATGGCTATTCAGGGTCTTTTTTGGTTCCATGTAAACTTTTGGAGTGTTTGTTATAGTTGTGTGAAATATATCATTGGTGTTTTGATGGAGATTGCATTGAATCTATAGATTGCTTTTGGTAGGTAGTATGGACATTTTAATGATGTTAATTTTTCCAATCCATGAACAAGGTATATGCTTCCACTTTTCTGTATCTTCCTCTATTTCTTTTTTTTTAATGTCCTGTAGTTTTCTTTGAACAGGTCCTTTACTTCTTTGGTTAAGTTTATTCCTAGGTATCTTAATTTTTTTTTTGTT